CAAAAAACAAAACACTGAAGATTAAATTAATCTTGACTAAATAAGGTAAATGGTTTCATAGTCTTGGATTTGTTTGTAGATTTATGGTAATTCAGGTCCCACTGTATACCAACTTTTTGAGACAAGCAAGTTGAAATTTACTACCTCAAACAAAATTTGGTGTGTGATTCCGTTATCAGCAGAAGTTCCTGCCTGCTGAGGTAAATTCAGCGCAGGATATTAAATTAGGCAAAGAAACTGAGCTCTTGTGTCAGTGAGCACAAATCTCCAATTATCAGGCAGATCTTAAATCAGCTCCAAAAATCCACTGTTCAGAAGAGTCCCTCAGTAAACAAACACACACACACCTTTTCTTGGTGTGACACAATACACAGCTTTAATTCACTCTCAGGCCCTGTGATGAATATTGATGTTTTCATTTGAATGTGTCTTGTTTCCTGTACCTGTGTCTCTGCTTATCCGGTTTCCAACTTTCATTTCATTTCATTTGGATTTATGCCAGATGTCTGTGCCCACAGATGTAGGCAGCTCGAATTCCAAACATTTGTAGTTGTACAATAGGATTTATAATGAATCAAGGGGCAAGCGTTCCTGTGAAACAGCAAAACATTTCACAACTACTTTGTGTTGTTAGGTGGGGAGGTGCTGCATATTCCAACAGGCATCTATTCTCAGATGTGTGTTAGAGCCTGCATCTTTTATAGATACGTATCCTCCCCTGCAGGAACACTCACATCACTATCTGTTTTTTCTGTCATTGGCAATTTCTTCCTCTCTTTTTCACTGTGCTCCCATTTTAAATTCCAAATGGCACTAATGTCCTTGGGCTGCTCTCCATCATCTGTTTGTAGCATTAGTGTGTTAGAACTGAAAAACACTGAAAAGTTTAAGAGGGCCTGTACAGTTGCTCTTGACACATTTATTAAAATGTTACACATCTCAAGGCTAAATTTATATAAATAATGTGTTGAGTTCTTGTCAAACACATTGAATTTTTCATGTATGTGTGTGTGTGTGGCATAAGAGAAAACACAAAGTGACCATTGTGTAAACAGAGACCCATGGTTCTGTATGATGAGTGTTTATCACACAAATGGAAAACTCAAAATATGTTGCAAATAAATGAATCTAATACTTTATACTAGACTACCAAGATACTCCAATATCACATCAGCATGACCCAAACAGTGACCCCATTCAGCTGGAATGGACACAGGCAACATGAGCAGGGTCAGATGTCAAATATGTGTTATGTAAAAAGACCTAATCGTTAATTCCAGGTCACAGAGGTCAGCAGGAGAGAAAATCTGAAAACCTGGCAGAACACGTACTGTATTTCAGTATTTTTTATAACATTTCCTTTACAATTATGATATATTGGTTCAGTATTGATCAGTTAGTCTTTGCTGTCCAGCTTTGACTAAATGGAGTTTCCTTCTTGACCTCTCCTCCCCTCTCAGTTTTACTTTTATATGCCATCATTACTTGTCACTAACTGTGTGTCTCCTCTCTCCCATAGTGTGTCCTCTCTCTTTCTCTCCCTGTAGCCCTGGCCCTGGAGCTCTACGTTTCTAATGAGCAGCCACCGGCCACATCAACCTGCCCAGTGTTTGGTTGTTTGTTGTGTCTTGTTGCTTTTCTTTTCTTTTCTCTCTCCTCCATCCACTAACCCCAACCGGTCGAGGCAGAAGGCCGTCCACTAAGAGCTGGGGTCTGGCGGAGGTGTCTTCCATTAAAGGGAGTTTTTCCTTCTGCTGTCACCAAGTGCTTGCTCAAGGGGAATTTGTTGGGTTTTTTCTCTATAATAATGATAATAATAATTTAATTGCTCTGGAACAAGTTAGTGGTGCAGCATAGGTTACTATGGTGATCCCAGTTTCATCATACCAGAAAACCCAAGCTAAGGCCAACGTTAGCTGGAGTACCTACTCATCTTTATTAGAGGTGCAGTACATGCCCCAGAAGCATAAAATGGCTAATTAGGAGTATACACTGAAATAACCAGCATCTCTGGATGTAGAACCACACCCAAAAAGTATAATTCACATTCTGTGCTCGTACTTTTTCTCCAGTGTTCCTCGTCATCTCTAGGAGCAGGCTGGTCCAGACAGACAGTTGCTCAGAAACTTATTTTATCACCAGCTCCCTCCCCAGGACAGGAGCCCCTCTAAGTCTCATTAGGCCAAACTGGCAGCTCAAGTGAAAGGAAATAGGGCCATGTGCCCCGCCTCCAGTGGGCAAAACCGCCACATCGCTCACAGGAGTTCTCATTACTTCTCTCCCCTCCATTGTATCCCCCAGCCCCTCTTCTGAAGGCAGCCAGCTCCATCCATCAGATCCATCGATCCTGTCTTCCCATGGTGTGGTACCTGTCTGTTTTTCACACTAAGTGGGAAGGATGGTGGAGCTGGCATGATATTTCAGCTTTCCAGTGACAGCTGTGTCCCCTAGGGATGTTCCAAGGTGAACCTGGGCTTCTTGCAGGAAGTGCTCTTCTGTAGAGCTAAATGAAGGAGCTCTCCCTGGAGGAATTACTAACAATATGTTTTTCTGCTTGGACACTGAAGTAAGAATCAATTCTCTGCTCCTCCTGCCACTGCTCGCACAGCTCGCTAAAAAAGGCTACCCCATCCTTCTTGCTATTACACATGAGATAGCGATACAACCCCTTCCTTTTTTCGAAAACACTGTCATAACTGTTGTGTAAGGTTTGACAGAGATGTCTCACAAAAGAATATGGATACTGCAAATATTTACAAAGAGATCTGATGTTGTGTCACAAGTTCCTCTAGACTTTGATCTTATTTTGGGCAGAGAAGCAAGCTTAAGCTTTTAAAGATATTGAGAAAATCATTTTAGAGCAGCCTGACATGAGTGCATGTTGTACTTCTAACTTAGATTAAATACACAGTGTATAACATTACTTAGAAACATTTATCTTTGAACCAAATATTCCTAAAATGCTTCTGTTTCTTCTGGGTCACTGGAGCAAACTGTGGCAAATTTATTAGGTTGAAATGTGTTCTTTCCATAGAATATAGACAAGAAAAGCCACACGACACCATAACACTAGGCTGTATGCAGGGCTGTGAGGATGAGGCAGATGTTACACATACACCACATATAAAGTCGTTAAGATGTTTTAAATATTTGAATTATTCTTGATTTATTTATTCAGTTAACTGTTTAATTCTATTTCTTTTTTACCTGTGTTAATGGTGTGGTGCAGTAGCATGTTGGGCTGATGGTTGGTCAGTTCACCATCTTGGCCCAGACTGAATTATCCTAACACATATTTAATGGATCACCTTTCAATTTTGTACAGCTATTTATGTTCACCACAAGACGAATCCTGACTTTGGCGATTCCTCCTCTGTTACCTGTCAGCTTCTCTGCAGCAAACTTTAATAAATAAATAATAAAGTAAAAAAATTGTAGCATGTGATTCTCAGCTCCCCCCCCACACACACACACACACACAAATGTTGCTGAAAAAAAAGGTCATGACCTCAGTTTCCTCCTTGCAATTAGTGCGGACTGAGTCTGCTATCTGTTCAGTTCTACTCATTCTAACAGCTGCGCAACATTCGTCACTTAATGTGTAACAGAGGAGTTATTCTGGGAAGGAACTGCTAGAAACTGGGAGATACAAACTTGGATTGGTTCTAGGATTGTGTGTTGTGTGAAAATTGTTATTATTGTCACAGTGGTGCCATAAAACAGTTCAGCTCCTCACTGACCTCTCACCACTACAGTATTATCACCATACAACTTCCCCAGTTGTAGTAGTTCACAGCACTTTCAGACTCAGCTGTGTCACTGAATGATATAGGAAATGTGGCTTAGGTTGTTTTTTCCTTATGATCTTACTGCTCAGATCAATCACATGCAGGCTAATTAGTCCAAAATCAGTGTTAGTGATTACTGTAAATACTATGTAAACACTGGGATTAGTAAATGCACATGCATGCAGACACACACACATTCAATGTTCTTACAAATGTAGATGTTTATTAAGAGCTCTCGGTTTATCTTGTGCAATGGCTGAAAGAACTAGTGTTTAAATGAGATATAGCAAAATGAAGATGAAAATAGACATGCTTGAATCTCTGAGTGCATTTCCCCCAATCCTGCAGCCATAAGTGATAGATAACGGGTGTGTTTCTGAAGAAACTGGAGCTCCCACTGGTACAGTGTTTATAATTAAGCATGATTTATTTAGCGTCGGGACCCGACCACAGGAGAAAGAATAAGGATATTTTCTGTTGACTCTACTCAGTCTACTTTGTTTTCATTTGTGCCATACTTTCTTTACTGGTTTGACTGAAATATGCAGATTTGATGTTGAGAAGAGTTGTAATTTAATGATTTAAAATGCTTATTAATTCCACAGGAATTTCCTCACTGGTTAACTGCTTTGTTAAAGTCATTCAGCAGTTGAGTAAAGAGCAGAGTGAATATGAATCAGCTCCTAAAACCATTGAATAAAAGGCGAACTGCAGACAGTGGTGAGTTCAGTGCCCACTTTTGTTTCAGTGACCAGAACTGATATGTGGTGACTCTCAAGGGTGTGAGTTTCACTGGAGAATACAGAAATCTCTGAGGTTGAATACCAAAACAAAAGTTCAATTTGCATTCATTAGAGGTGTCTGTGGTGCTGGCTGTAGTGGTGCGAGAGGAAGATCTGCAAGACAATCTTTGATTTGCCCACGGTTCAAAGCCTTTTCACATGTACCTGTCAATCAACACAACAACTCAGCAGAAATAAAATAAACAAATCACATCCCAGACACCAAAATTCCCTGGTACAGACACACACCTAAATTCATTCTTTCATTCTGAGAATATTCTTCATAAATCCATTTGAACAAGGAGTGGAAGAGCATTTGCACTTCTAGGATTTTTCAGTTTTTCATTTGTTTATCTTTTATTGTATATTTTCTTAATTTCTTTGAAGACAGATTCAGATAAAATGTACAAACAAAGTGAATCGTGTTCATTCTTAAAATTAATCAGTAAGTTTGTACTGGAATGAAGTCATTTGCCTCTTTTCACTGAAAAACTGTCACAATATATATAGATTGATGTATTATACAGTGAGAAAAGTGTAAGGAATTGACTAAACAGCACATCCATCTACTGTTTGAAGATTGTTAATCTGAATTTCATACTACATTATTTTGTGGGGTTATAATTAGCTGGAGACAGTGTTTTCTCTTAACTTGGCTTGTTAGCTACAGCTGATAAAATCTGCTAATGACAGTGGTAATTTCAGCCAACAAATTGATGGTTGCCAACTAGAAATGAGATGCCTGCTTTTGTCTACCTCTGTCTGAAATGAAGTACCCTCTGCTTTGAAAATAACTATGAATTTCAAATGGTAAATCTGACACTGTAATCACTATAAACTGCATTTGTGCCTAAGGCTTAACAGAAACTAAGGGGTAGATCAGATGGATTGTATGGGAAAAAAAGAAAACTGAATATAATGATATGCTAATAAATAATACTATGTCATTACATTGTACAATATCATAGCAACCAAACTGTAGAGACAAAGAACCTTGTGCTTTGTATTACATCAGTAGACAGCTCTCCCTGCTACAGCAGCCTATAGCTGCCTGCTGAAAACCATCTGGGTTTTTCTCCATGGCCATTTTATGAGCAGAGCTGCCATGCAGGGCACAGTGTGGTGCAAGCACAGATTCAATTATGAGGTGGGGGTGTTTGGCAGAAATGGTGTGCGTGCCAGGCTCCGTCTATACACTGCCTGAAGCTGATAGATGTAGAGACTTCTGGCCTGGCAAGTGGTTTGCAACCTGGCAGTAATGTGAGAAAGGCCTATTGTGCTGCTGTGGCAAAAACCCTGAGCACTCAGCTGTGTTTACAGCCCATAGCGCAGGACTAGAGACCCGCCTGTGAGGATCCCTCAGCAGCCCTCTGCTCCAAAAACACAGCGAAATCAGATGAAGACAAAGCAACACCATCCCATTTTCATGTTCTCAGTGTGGCTGCCTCCCAATTAGCCACACTGCTGCTGGCAAGGTAAGATAACAATAGAAACCCATGTATCCCCGAAAGACCTCACTAGAAGACCTTTATTACAGTATTGATATCCCCTACATGTCATCAGTGACCCCACCTGCCTGGCAGCATGCCTGAATACTTTACATGAAGCCATACTACCCGAGGGGCTGTAACTCAATAAGAGAAGAAAACAGCAGGACACACAAGTCTAGGCTGAACGGTACATGCTGTAATTAGCAAGATGCTGTGAGGAATAAATATAAAATACAATACAGCGAGTTCAAGCAGCAAAGTAAATTAAAAAACTGATTAATGGGTGAAAGCACTTAAATGTTTCTGGCAAAAAAAAAGTCACGTGACGACAGATGGAATGAACAAGAATATTCTGAGCTGACACAAAAAACAACCAGTGGCAGATTGTTATAAAAAACAAACAGTAGTTACAAACATATTTTATGTGCCCACTGATATTTTATCCTTCAGCAATTTCTACATGCATAAGACAGAGTTGTGACAGATATATTTTAAAATACCTCGCATCTCTTTAAGCACGCACTGCTTCAGATTGGGACGAAGAAAATCTAAATATTGCATTTTCCACACACAAAAGAAAAATAAAGTGTTCAAGTTAGTTCCCATTCTGTAGCACCACACGAGTTATTTCATGTACAAAATGACATGTAATTGTAGTCCAACAAGTGGCAAAGTGACCTCGAAATTAAGTGTTTTAGTTGATGTGCAAGCATGTAACTGCTGGGAAATGTTTTGATTGTTCACTTGGTCCTAAAATTCATTCATTAAAAGTAATATGATCAAACCTTTGAAAGAAGAAACAACACATGTAACTGAATAAATAATCATTATGTAAGCTCAGTGGCATAAGGCACGCTTTACCTGGTTAAATCGAGGCTGGCAAGATTTGAGGAACTTCTAAAATTTGCATTAAAGTGTCTTATAGTTTATGTTTATATCGATCTCCTTCATATGTTTTTCCTTTTGTAGATGGGTAAAGTATTTTCACACTTCTTAAGGCTTTGTGCTGGAAACTTGCAGCAGTATCAGAGGTTCTTTGTAAAGGGCTTTCAGTGAGGCTTTATGGTAAATGGGTATGGGGTCACTTCTACTGCAAAGCCGAGGTCAGGCTCTCAGAGAGTGGGTCTGTGTGTGAGTGGTCATAAAGCACTACAGGGCATCTATTTCAAATGTCCCAGCTGTCACTGAAGTACTGATCCTCTTCTTCCTCATCGTTCTCATCTTCATTTTCTTCCTCAGTCCCATTTTTCATGAGGTCATCATCTTGTGACTCGTTCACTTCCTCGTCCTCTGCTTCTTCCTCTTTAAGTTGTGCAAGCATGGTTTGTAAAGTGGCTTTTACCTCCTGAACCTCCCTTTCTAAAGACTGTGCAGAGGGAGTTAAGGAAGAATCGGATGATTCAGACACACATTAACATGTAATTAAGCATCAGGATAAATGTGACACTTGGTTAATGGTAAAAGCAAAAGGACAGTCATAACCTTATAAAGCCATCAGTCTCCCATTTGGTCAGCAAACTAATTACTGGGACACTTCATCAAGTCATACCCAATTTACCAATTTCCAATGTGCTATTCACAAGTTCACTGTACCTGTGTAGCTCGGCGGCAGTGTGTGGACCCAAGCGAACAGACGGTCCAGCTAAATTATTCATAAACCATCAATGAAACAGGATAAAGTCTGTTGTCAGTGTGGGGACTGTTTAACCTGCTTAGAAACTCAAATGAATCATGTGTCCAGCTTAAGTGACAAATCAGGGGAAGGCTTTGATGGCAGATGGGGCCTGATGATTCCTTTCACCATCTGAACGGACACAGATTGTCCTCATTCATAATTTACAAACTGTTATGGAGCCTTCCATGAATACTGCAGAAGGTTCAAGAAGACTTTTAAGGCAACATGATCCAAATGGGACAATAAAGCTCAGAATTATGTTGAAGATCTTTAAAAGTAACCACAGATACTGGCATCATTTTGCCTTTCCATTTCTTTCTTTTGCAATCCCAGTCTCTGTGCTTGTCTATCCATCTCCTACTTTTGAGAGCAGAGACTCAATTAAGCCCCTTAGAGACTTGAGGTTTATTCTTCCCATCACTATGGCAACAGCAGCACCATCCCAAGTTCAGTTTGTGTTCAATTTCAGCAACGCAACACCAGTATTGTCCTGTATCTTGAGTGTCCTCAAGTGTCTACAATGAGTTTGCATGAGTGCACTGACTTCAAAAAGCTAAGATGAATGATACGTAAGGACATGAAAACAGAAAGGTGGAGAGAAGCGGCAATCTGTGTCTGTCTCTGACTGCCAGGCTGTACTGACCCCTGACAGTGCAGCTGGGGATGTAAATCTCTAAATCTGATGTGAAAACAGTCTAGCCACACTTCAGCAGAGAGTGATAGACGTGCTGTACAACGCGTTGCTTTTAGAGACACTAAAACTAAATGAACCTCTTCATCATACTGGACAGATTGGGAAAGTATTTCTGGCAGGCCATGTTCAAACAGGAGAAATGAGGTGTGACAGAAAATAATTAAATAAATACAACAGAAGGTTAGGTGGCAAATATTCTTCATCCCTGCTGAAATATTACTTTTTCTATCTGTCTCAATAAGCCCACACGGTGGAGGGAAAAACACACTAATTTATTTCCAATCAGCTTTCTAATTAGCATGGAAAATGGTGTATTGTGACCTGTAATCAGTTTCAACAGTTTCATTTGAGTCATTATCATGGATATTGTAATTTCCTCCATGCCAGATTCAGCAAGTGCAAGTGGGCAGACTGAGGAGGGGAGTGGGGAGGAAAGGAAGGGAGGGCCAGGAGTAGGATGGACACTAAGATATGATGTGAGAGGAGTCATTACAGAGACATTCCTCTATCTGCCACAGCACTGCCCCTGTCAGCTGGCTTTAATCTCAGCCTGTGGTGACTGGCAGCCTGCATCAACAGCCCTATAATAAAGTCGCTTAGACATTTCGTTTTCCAGTTGGCACATCTAGCCTGTCAAGAAAAACCCTCTGATCCCAGTTTATCTTCAATTCCCTCCCTGAATGGACCCATAATGTCAAATAAGGCAGGTGGATGTTTTTTTCCTTCATGAGGCAAAGTAAAGAAAGCTAACGTCACTCAGCCTGAAAATAGTTTGGATGTGTACTTTTGAGCGCTGCAAGGTCTTAAAGAAATTAGGTCCTTAAGATGGATGGACAGAGACAGATACACACACACACTACCTACTATGTATATTTAGAGAGCAGATAAAGGATATGGGTGAGAGCCTGGTCCCGGTTCAGTATGGCCGTCTGCAATTCATCTTCTAAGGTCATTAGTCTGTCACTGATCAGCTCACAGCGCTCTGTCAGGTCTGCAGCCTCACTGCACCCGTCCTGCAGGAAAAGGAAAAAAGGTCGGAATAATGGAAAGAAATTGAAGGTGTAATGGTTTAGCTGTATGGGTTTAATATTGAAAGGGAGAGCTACAAGACGCAGATGCCACTAAAAATGACAGTTAAAAGCAGTAAATTCAAACTCCAAAAATGTTGGATCCTATATGCAGGAAGAAGAGCTCTGGAACGTCCTTCAAGATGGATGCTGCAAGGCCGAGGGTATACTGGGGGATGGTAGGGACATCAGGTTGGTGGAGAAGCAGAGTGCAGTAGGACAGAGCATTCAGAGAGCAGAGCTGGCCGTAATTAGAACAGGCCCCTTTGCAGACATCATGTCCTAGTTTCTTCACACTTATCAAGCACAGAGAACACAAAAACACACACCAGTGTACACAGACATATGCACACATGCACGCAGACCTAATCTGACTCAGAGCTGCAGGTAGAAAATATCAACTCCCTGCTGCTCTGAGGTGTCAGAACAATCACTGGGAAGTCATGTCTCTGGTCTCCGTCCTTGAATAGCACTCCTCTGGATGATGTAACACCCCAAAAGAAATGTATAACAACAACAGCCCTGAAGCACAACACTGTGTACAAGTCCTCCCTGATGGAGTGAAGGAATAAAGTAGGACTTAAAGGCAGGATAGCCCATGGATAACAGATTCAAGCAAGCATGTCTTTAGTGAGTGAATCACTTTAATGAACAAACAATCAATAACACCAGTCTGTCCTCATGTGATGTTGGGTTCTCCTTGACTCTATATTTTACCGCCACTAGTCAGCTTTTGAGAAGTCAATACAGCCACAGGACAGAAAACAAAAGCTCACTGTGCAGAATGACACCACTGAAAACATCTCTGACAGTTTGCTGGCAACTTTGTACACAAACCATTTAAACAGCACACATGCTGCTGTTTTGCTCCTGGTGATGATCAAATAAAATCTGTGGAAATTGCTTCCTCCGCTACCTCTGCCTTTGACAAACAATAAAACATGGGGAATGAGATTTCAACAACTTGTCAACTTGCTGAATAGAATCCCAGGCATGCATGTACTGGCGTGTTGATTCCTGATGCACATTAGTGCCAATGTTATTAAACCACAAGTAAACAAAGCAGAAGTGTGAAGTTAAGCAAATTATTTGGAAACTCAATATTCAGACTCATGTATGCACTGGTTTGGTTATTTAAGCAGTAATGAGTGAGAGGTAGCAGGTAACTGTACATGTTCCCATGAGTGCTGTTAGGCGTGACAGGTTTTCCCGGGTACAAAGCAATAGTATTGTAATGGCATTACTCTCAAGGACATAATTGCTTGTACTAGCAATAATGTAGCTGAATATATTTTTAACTCCAAAGGAAATTAACTAGCTAATGATTAACATCTGTTATCGCCGGTGCCTTCCTACTGGGAACACGCTTAGAAATATTATCAGGTTCCAAGACAAGACGATACACAAGTGCAGCATGTTAGCATGTTAGCAAGTCTGTAGCTGTGAGCCACATCCATACCACAAATTGATTCTAGGTTCTACTCTACTGATCCTTATAGTATGCTCTAACATATACACAAAGTCAACATACTATTTTTTGCTAACAGAGAATGATACAATTCATGCACCTTCAGACATCACTCAAACTTTGGGATGTCACTGACAATTAAACTTCACCCAAACAACTTTTTTTTTTTTTTAAATGTAATACTTTTAAATGGTTTTCTTCCTGGAACTATCTCAACACCACTAACATTTTTCATTTCATTGTGGTGTCAGTCAGCAGTACACTCAAAAATCAACCGTTTTTATGGCCTGGTACTGAGAGTTTTGAGTATACTTCATTTTGTCAGTATTCAAGTGTTAAGTGGAATATAAATACAGCTTCAATTTTGAGTGTGCTGTCAGTGTACACTTCTGTCTCACAATGCACAATTCTCCATAATTGTCCAATTGTAGAAAAACACTGAGCTTTCTCTTTGTGAAGTCTGATTGGCACTGACACTCCAAAGTTGCAGTTTGACTGATATGTGACAATACATGTACTGTACCACTTTACCTTTTAGTATGAAATGGCACAGACGAGTTGAGCATTTGCAGTGACATTCCTGACTGACAGTTTGATTGAAATCCACTCATGCTGCAGCTAAAAAAGGAGCAAAATGCACTGATGGTTTTGTACATTAGCTGCAAAAATATTATATTACTACAAATAATATTATAGTTGTTGCTGAACACAGTTTGCGAGTAGTACGGGAGTGTGACAGCAATCATCTCTTGTTAACAAGAGTGATAATTTCATGACATTATCATCACAACTATCTGATTAACAAATGTAATCAAAAGCTTTCAACATTTCAGTTTAATAATATGTCTACTGTTGTTTGGTGCTGCAGCTCGTTTTAAGGAGAAAAGCATAAAGACCTTGAGAGGATAAAAGAGCAATTAGGAGAGATTAGAAGACAATAGAGTAGTGCCATAAAACACACTTGCACACACGAACACACACAAATCAATCTCCATTGTGGCAGCAGAGCAGCAGCTTGGCAGCAGCTAAGTGGAAATCATTTACTTAAAGTCATTATGGAAAGGAGAACAAGGTCAGACATTCTTCGAGGCAGGGAATCCAATTCATCCACAACTTTCACAACACCGCCAAGATAGAAATACCACTGCCATTTAGGCATCATCGTATCATTTGACTCAGTGATGCCTGGTAGTTTATTGTGAATGAATCATTTTATGTCAGCTAGTTTTTCCATAATTTAATGTGATTCATGTTCATAGTTCAGATATAAAGTACAAATCACTGTCTGTTCACATTCTGCACGAACAGACACTGACCATGTGCTGTGAAATCAGAATGATACCCTTTTATCACTCAGTTATTATTGTTCCAGTAGACCAAAGCAGGCTGGAGGGGGGAATATTTGGGGAATATTTTTTGGCCTGTGGCATGTCAGTGCTGGACCACTGTAGACGGCCAGAAACTACAGAGAGATGGGGCTATTTATGTGGCTTACTAGCCACTTGTAGATCAGGAAACAGCACCCTCTGCAGGGACCAGCCAGTGGCCCAGGACTGGTATGCTACAAGACAAAAACCCAAGCTTCTAGCTGCATCCCTCAACTTTGGCCAGGTGAAATGACAATAGTCTCTGGAAGAGTTTTAAGTGTTTTCAGCTGTCTGCATTTAAAACTGGAATCCTGTACAAAGTCTTAAATATGTACTTGATAGCTACATATGGACAGTTATACTGTATAGTGCTGAAAAACTGAGGAAAAAGCTACATGTCCAAGCAATCTGATCTCATCAGCTGCTGATTTATGTAGATGTGTAAATGTGACTAGTGGAGCTAGTTAGTCCTATATTAAAAATATGATAAGGTGACATGCAAGATCAGATGTGTGTTCTGAGAGAGACAGAGGTTAGATTTATTGTTCATACTCTCAGACAGTATGTTTTCATTTTTAATATTACAGTAGAAAAGGTTCTGAAGATGAACGCAGTATCACGAATCTCAGAAGAGCAAGGCTATCTCAGTTAATGACAAGTTACAGGTGAAGCTCTTCCGTGGGTTACTGCAGCGGGTAGGAGGTTAGCATTGGTAGCTCACATTAGAAGAGATAAACACACTGTGTAAAATGATTTTGCTCTTGTATTTTTGGTTTTAAAAAGGCACATTCTGCAAAATGTGTATATTTGGAGGACTAAAAATTTGACAGAGCCACTGACTATCAGTTGCTAGGCTACAATTATGACTCTAGTAAAAGGTCAGTTCACTTGCCTATAATTTACAGCTTTTGTAAGTTTTGAATTTAAAATAAATAATTTAATTAGAGGCAAACAATGACAATAAAGCTGTCAGGTCTTTTTAAATGTTGTGATCAAGTGACATTGCCCTCTTTTGTTGATTCCGACTCATGTTTTAGGTGCCAAATTACAATTTTTTAGAAAGTTAGGTACACATGCAGGGGACTTTTTCTCACATCGACTCACATTTATTCTGGTTTGAAATCCTGCACAGGGCACTCCCTTAACAAAAGGTGCCTTTGCATGGTTTAGATACCAGATGTGAAGACATATAAATGTATGAATTTAAAGCAG